ATTTTAATTTGATTATGGTAATTAATTTGCAGAGTAACGATAACGTTAAATTAAAAAGACGAAAGAATATTGCATACCTATAATATAATATACGATATGTGTATTGAACTATTATAATATGTTTCCTTCTGTTGTATAATGATCTGTGGAATAATTTAAGAACGCCTCCGCTTAATGAGCGTCATCTTTCCTAGTTTTTATATCATTAATTAGTAATAAATTAAGTATCAATATATATTATTATTAATCACGTACCTATAGTAATGATATTTTACGAAAAAAAGTTGTTTTTCCTATAATATCTTTATTAAGCAGATAGATAAGTACATATGGTATAAATAGTACGTTTTTTTTCTAATAATTTTAATACAACCTAATGTAATAAAAATAAAATATTATGACATTTTAGACCGAACTCTTCAAGTATCAAAAATAGAACATTAAACAAATTTAAAAATTCCACAAAACATATCCAAACACTCGAAATATAATATTATATAAGCTTACCTTCCCTCCTGAACCTGGTGATGGGGTCCATGGTTTCGGACTTTCGATTCACTACTGATATAATATAACAATTGTGTCCGACGCGTATATTCGCGAGTTTGTTAGCCGCGTAGGCGACTCTTTATTGAACGCGACGTTAAAAATAATCATGAATAATATTGCCCGTATACGCAGTGAGTTTTTTACCGTATGATTAAAACCATCAGGGGAAAAAAAAATAATGTAAGATCGAAAACAATGCGCAGTGCCAGCCTCCGGGATTGACCGTCTCCTTTGTTTATCCCCGATAAAAACCCGGCTAGAAACCTTCGGAAGTAATAATAATAAGTCGTGTCGATACATTTTCTAGCATTGTAATATAATAATAATATATTCCTTAATCCCAAAATATTTTCAATATTTTAAATAATTATATAATTATTAAATGGCAATCTGTGGAAGATATTAAAAAAAGTTTGAAAACGAATTTTTTTCACGTGCTACCTAATGGCGCAATCAAAACAATATTATACATAAGCAATGTCCGCATAATATTTGACGTTTCTAATATTGAATATTAAATTTTAAGGGTTTTCAAAATATATATATTCTGTTAACCTGTTATATAATAATCTATACAATAATAAAAATATATTAGGTACAAGGGACCTAATTTCTATTATTTGTTTTATTTAAAAATGGTCAGATACAAAATAATAAATATATAGTACGTTTGTGTATGTATAGCAGTAGATGAGAGGCAGTAGTGAGAGGCAGTAGTGAGAGGCAGTGTATAGGCGGTCGGCGGTATAGATTATTGAAGAAGCTTAAAAAAATGTGATAGTGAGATTTCTTTGAAGTTTGAAGTTGAATACAAATTACAATGAATAATAAATGACTTGGATCAATTGTATGTTTCTGTATCTAGGAAGTACATCCATTTCCCTTAACCAGAGTGGTTAGTTTTCAATGAAAATTTTCCTCTAAGTGAAACAAATTAATACCTCATCAATATATACAATATAATATAGAGTCCAAACTAAAGGTGGGTTTCCTAACCTAACGTGTGTATATACGTGAATATATTGACCGGATCCATTCGCTATGAAAGGTCTCACATCGGTTCAGATGTGTTAGGATTGGGAACGTATTAGTTACCTCATATATTCTCATGTTATCAATATTAAGCTGTGTACACGAAAAAGTTTAATTGGATCCAACTTCATGGTATCCTGGTTAAACCTGTGGTAAGAACGTATAACACTTTGGTTTACCAAAAGCTTATTATGTATACCAACCAATCACAGACAAGTATTTTTATGCACGTACACGTACACGTATGTAGTGGAAACCCACCTTAACGTTTGCGTATGCACCCCTCTCAGCTTTAATCACTAACGAATGTGTAGCGTTTCAATTTTAATGCCAGAAAAGTAAATTGGGCTTTTAAAAAATTGAATAATATGTTTTATACTTATATATACTGAACTTCTTCATATTGAAATGTAGTAATTAATTTCAAATATCATATTTTTAAAAAATTCGAGGTTATTGAAACCTACTAAGTAAATATACTTAAGTAGACGTGCATCGTTTATGCATTTGATATTTACGCATTCAAACCCACGTGTTTTTTTAATTTGTGTATTTTACAACTTTGCATAATATGTCAGAAATATAATAAAATATACATTAATATACAAGTGTTCAATAGGTATCTTGATAATTTTATACACACTATTGATTTGCATAATTAATGAACAGCTAGTTATTTAAAAAAAAAACGTGTTCATTTATATAGTTAATAATAATTACTTACACTGTTACACTTCGGTCTGTATTTTGTTTTACGAATCGTTTTGATTTATTTCCATTATTTTTAACGATTATAATATTTTCTGATTTCATTAAAACGACCCTAAATATTGTAAGACGACCACATAATTTACACAGAACCGGATTGAAAATTCTCCAAGCGTGCAAACCTCAGATAAATCAAATATCGATTATAAATGGCTCTTATTATTTATATGGGGAGGGTAATATATTATGATAATTTACTTCGAAAAATGTTCCATATGTCCCATCTATAAGCACAATTATAGATTGAAATAATACTGCAGCGATGCGTTGTGTAAGTACCTACCTATGCATACATTTTCTATAAATCAAACACTTGGAAGATAAACAATTTTAGTTACCAAAATGCTTATACAAAAGTAAATACATTATACATAATGACAAATGTATGGAATGATAATCATCGCACACGGCTATAGTGCTATGCATATATATATATTTCTACTCTACCAATACTTCAAAACTTACTTGTAAACAATATTAAGGGTCTGTGATTTTTCTACTTTTTTTTCGATACTTTTAACATATTATTGGTTATTCACTCATACACTCGATTACACTTTAGTCACGGGGTAGAGACGACGTAAAATTGTAAAAAAATAACTAATAATAATAACGATGCGTTTGTGCCAACTGATATGCAGTGCGATACGGATGAACAAGATAAAGTAAATATATTTGATCAATAATTTTCAAGGACTCGCGACAGTAGAACTTAATATTATAACATACAATACCAAATCTCAGAATCAATAAGAAAGAAGAATACGGTCGAAAAATTCTGGTTTACCGAGGGCGATACTGCAGGCGGTGGCTGTTGAATGCAATTTATTACAATAATACTACAACGTAAATCGTTACCGGAAACCGATAACGAATTCGAGGGGGGTAGCAGTTTTCCGGGTTCGACCATCCCCCCCAAACACACACCCGGATGTTTTCGAGTCACTATGCACAACCGCGTATACCTATACAATATTAATACCTGTAAAACCCTCCTCACTACAACAAGCGACGCGTTATGCCTATACATTGCGCCGGAAAGAAAAGAGATCGTTCGACGTGTGACAATCGCGGATAAAGAGAGAGGTTGTTACCCGCAAAACAGTTTTTGACTATGTTGTACATTATAATTGTAAGACGGAGACAACACGTCATCTAACATCAAACATGAAATAGACCCATAATATTATGTGAAAACATTTCTTCTAGAAATCTGAATAGTATATAGTAACTACAGTGGTCGAATTGGGGGGACGCGGGGGGACGGAGTCCAACTTCTATTTTTAAAATATTTTAGCGTACCCCTTCTAATTTCAAGAATTGATAAGACATTTAAATGTTGGGGGGGACGCACAAATGTTTTATACTTTTGCATACCCCTTCTATTTTTTTTCCAATTCAAGCACTGAGTACCTAACTATATATATTTTTTGAACAAATACGGCCGATGGGGGTTGTTTTAACCCTCAAAGCACCCCCTGGCTTTACGCAACAGAGTTTACGTATATAGTACTTATACAGTGAAACCTCGATAACTCGAACGTCTATAAGTCGAATTTTTCCCCCCCCCCCTAACCGATTCGAGTTATCGACGTTTCACTGCATAGATTATCAGTAGTTAACCGGTATAATGACTTGATGGCTTTTATCGGTTTTTTCACCTCCATCGTTTACACGATGACCGCATCCGGTGATCATGACACGGTGTCATGATGAAAATACGACGGAGGTGGGTGTCATTATATAATATATATTATAATAACTATAAAATAATACAATCGACCGACTGGCGGGACTGCAGAGGGATGAACGTGTACGAATTGTTTTCCCGTCGGCTTAAAAAACACGCGGCGATCGATAAACACGGCACGTCGTAGTAACGTCGCCATCGTGTCGTATGGACGGCCACGAGGGCCGTCGGACGCACGTGTCGTACAAAACATCACGACGGTATTATAATAATAATAATATTATAGTTGTACGTTTTGGCCGTAGAGAGGGAAAACCGAAAAACCGTACGCCGCCATGTGCGTTCAACCGCCGCCGCCGCTTCACCGTCGACGTTGTCGCCGGCCGCCGCTGCAATCGATTTTGTCGGCGGCGGCGGCGGTGGCGGTCGTTGCACGGGCAGCGTCTGGTCCGTCGCCGTAACGGCTGCAGCGTACTCGCGACTCGCGTTCCGCCGCCGCCGCACGCCGTAGCCGAGTAGGGGGGCGCGCCGTTGGCTGCGCAGCACCCCGGCGCGCACGCAACAACCGCCGCCGCGGCACGACGCAGTGCACGCGCAGCCGGACGGCAGCGGACGCAAACCACCGCCACCGCCGCCTCCGTCGCCCGTGGTTGTCGTCGTTGTCGTCGTCGTCGCCGCCGCCACCGCCGCTGACGCCGCCACTGCCGCGGCACTGCGGCAGTCGTGTACCCCGGCACAGGTGGCCCGCGCGTCGTTTGGCCGCACAGCAACGGTTGGGTTGCAAAACGTTTTCACGACGAAAGCGTTGCTGATAAACGACGATCGCGCCCACCGACGGCAATAACAATCGGTGGAGGCGGCGGCAGTGGCGACGACGGACCAACGACATCCCCACACAACAACAACCATAGCGCGGCGACAGAAACGGCGACGGCGGCGGCGGCCCGGCGACGACGATAACATGGAGGAACAGTTGATCGCCGAGATCGAGCGGCGGCCCGTGCTGTACGACAGGAGCGTGCAGGCGTGCAAAAAGATGTCGGCTCGGGACGAAGCGTGGCGCGAAGTGGCCGAAATAATGAAGCAATCCGGTACGCTTCCCGCATACACAAATAACACCCCCCCTCCCCCAACCCAGCCATAATATTGTCTTAATGACACAATAATAACAATAATGATTTTTTTTGTTTCCAGAGGCCGAAGTGAAAAAACGGTGGAGAACGCTCCGGGACTCGTTCATGAGGTTCCACCGGCTGCAGCGGACGTTCGGGCCCAAGGGAAAGAAGAAAATGTGGATTTACTACAACGAGATGGCATTTCTGATACCGCACATCGAGCCCAGAGAGTAATAATAATTACACATCCAAATATAGCTCCGCCAGTGACTTTATTTTGTATATTATTACTAACGCGTTGCGAATGTTGTTTCCACAGCTACAAGATGTCCGGAGCTTTCGACGGCGCCGAGTTCAACGACGACTGCAACGCGGACATGGACAACAACAGCCGGACGGCCGCGGACACCCAAGGCGCGGACATGGTGTCCATCGCGTCCGACATGTGCGAGGCCGAGCTGACGACGCCGCCGATCGGCAGCGCCGGGTGCCAGTGCTTCAACGGCATCGGTCTGCACGTGCACCAGGAACCGTCGGCCATGATGATGATGGAACCTGGCGGCGGCGTCGTCGGCGGCGTCAAGCGCAAGGGGTCGGACGACTCGTCCGAGTCGGCCACCGACTCCGACGAACACTTCGCGCTCAGTTGCGTCGCGTCGCTTCGCCGTCTGCCCATACGGAAAAACGCCGAAATGCGCATGCGCATCTTGCACATGCTTTACGAGGCCGAGTACGGCGAAGAACCCGTACTGCGATGAATCGTCTTCTTCCCGTTTTCGTCATTTCATTATTAATATTTGTATTATTTTGTCATCTCGCTGCGACTTTTGTACATATTATTATTTTCTTTTGCTATATTGACTATTATTATTATTATTATTTAGTACTCTCATGTTGTATAATTGATGTATAGCTGATATTATTATAGGTCGAAAACCGTTTTACTTACCTATATATTATTGTAACTATTGTAAACAATTTAAGTGATTTATTGTAATGAAATACCTAAATAAGAAAAAAAGTAATAATAATAATACAGAATTTTTTTATACGTAAATAACCAGTTTGTTTTTATTTGTCGTGTTCATTGCCTCCGCGGTGTAGCCATGAACATTATATTCCTATGAATTATAAACGGGTAATTCTGTAAAGTAGCCATCATTATACGCAGTCGGTGTTCAATTATAAAGTGAGCTATGCTTCTGGTCTATACAGGTAAAAAAAAAATAAATAATAATAACAAACACTGAACAAATATTTGCATCATATACCTATAATTTCGTGCACAGTGGAATATAGGCACGAATGTGTATCCTATATAGACAACTAATTATATCGTAGGTAGGTACCTATGCATTAAAACACTAGGTGAGACCAGGCATTCGATTTTCATGTAATATATTATTATGGCGAGCATAACGTATTCGATGTGTAACATGGCTATAGATGTATTATATTGAACAGTTTTTATATTATGAAATTAAAACGAGACGTGCGGTTTTTACAAATTCGATTTCATTTCTTCAAAATCGACTTTTAGTGTTTGTGAATCAATGTATATGTGATTCGACCAGAGCGCATCGACTACATAACTTCGCGACTAAAATATTAAAAATGCCCACTCCGTAGTGGGCGGAGTGTGAAATCCGAGCCCTTTGAAATAATATTTTTATATCTAATTATATGCGATTGAAAAATGTAACTTTCTTCTATCGGCCAAAATATAAAAATTTAATTATGGATTACATTCGTCATTGTTTTTAGTGTATAGATATTATATTAACGGGAATCGATTAAAAACTGAACATACGTTTCAATTTAATAGGCATATAGGTATATAGACGTAGCTACATAGTACATCAGTGGCGTCCGCAGGGGGGGGGGCTAAAGGGCTAAAGCCCCCCCCCCCTATTAGCCGTATTATTATTACTTTTTCAAAAAAATATTAATCAAGTTAAACTCTCAACTATAGTAAGCAAGACGTACATTTCAAATATGTCTTACCAGAATGAATTCATTTTTGAAAAAACATTGTATTTGTAACATACCAATTTTCATAAATTATCTGTAATTTTTCGGTAAAAGTATGAACTTATATTTGTATGAAAGACCTTGTATTAAATTGGCTAGCCTTAGCTATACACATTTAATATTTTATAAGTTTTGAACTACAAATTAACTGTGGTTTTGACGAAATTTGAACTTTAAATGCTTATAAAAAATAAGCTTGATGCCTATGTATCGTTAATATTTTAGCTACAATAAAAAAAACTTGCGTATTACATTTTTAAGCTTTTTGACCGGATAAATAATTTTTTATTGACATTTATAGAAAACAAAAATTTAATTATTCAAATACAATCCAAGCAGTGAAGACGGTATAACCAAACATTTAAATAAATGTTCATTTTTTTTTCTCAAATTATTTTTAAAAGCACTGAGCATTTTCAATTCCAACCTCCTAATAGTACCAACTAGATCCAATTTGCTTCCAAAAATATACACTGAGCATCGGAGCTTATGATCAGAGCGTTTTTTCTACCAGAAAAGTTTAAAAGTTACAACCATTTTAAAATACCTCAAATAAACGTCTGAAATTATTAGACTGGAGAATATGAAAAGAAAATTGTAACTAATTTTCAAGCCCCTCCCATTGAAAAATCCTGCGGACGCCACTGTAGTACATAGAAGGTAATTGATAAACAAATAACATAGAAATTGAATGCGGCAACTAATAATATTGTATACTTAGCGTTTACATATTTTTTAGTCAACAGATATATGTATGTAACGGTCTAATGAATAATACATATTATCATATTATTGTGATATGTCGTCGTACAACCTATTCGTACTGCTTTATAGAGTGGGCACCTGAAGTGATTTTGACTCCGAGATAATAATATAATATGTTATGTTTCAATAAATATCGACGACTAATAATGATATTGTATCAGCAGTCGTCATTTGTCGGACATCCCAACACGGTGGGACACTGCTGTGTATAATATTACAATATACGAACGGATAAAAGTATTTTTTACGAATCCAACTATCGATTTGCCATATTTGTTTTAGATACCACCGGGGATTTTAATAGTTTAGGGATGGATAGTAATTTAAATAATAATAATAATAATAATAATATAAAACCAAAATGCGAAATGACGTGTGACGAGCGAATCGCCGTGTGTTTGGGACACAAAAGTTTTCTTTTAATCATTACAATTCATGTTTATATTAATATTATTATCATTATAGAAGTGGTTTATGTGTACCTAATATAGTTTTGAACATCACGTATCTACCCGTCTTACATTACGTAATTTATTATGTTCGCAATCTGATGTTTTTCTTTTCGTATATAAACGTGATTAGATTTTAATGTTTGAATGGACTTCGCTAATTAGTGCAAGTATTAGTGTAGATATTATATATATATGCCTACTACTGAGGTTAACAATAATTATCGTAATACAATATACAATATAGTTTTAATCTGTGCAGATCAACATTGAAACATATTTTACGTAGGTAGGTACATCATCTGCAGCTATTGAATTGTTATCAAATTAAAATGCTTATAAAAAAATGATATTGCACATTTGTGTACTGTTATATTGCTGCGTCAAAATGCAATCAATAATAATTTATGATATTAATGCACATCAAAATGTCTTCGTGATAAAACAATTTTTTGTTACTGTAAACTTGGTATATTTTTATAGTTTTAAATTTCGTTTTGTATTTATTTATCTATTTCCTAACAGTTAAATAGGTATAAAACGAAATTCAAAACTATAAATCTATTATCTATTATACTTAACAGCGAACGCCATTGGCGGTTGGCATTCACCTGATGCCCACCTGTACGATCATACATCTCTGAATGAATCGCGCAATTTATTTTAAATTATTTTCGTCGATAATGACGGTAATAATAATAATATGTGCGATGCCAAAACCATCGTCTGCATGAAAATCGATTTCAAATGGGTTCACACGCTTCAGGAAACATCGCATAATGTATACAATATCGTCTGCTGAATCGAACAAACTGCATCCTGTTGCTGAAAACGAATTTTGACATTGTTCCATAAGTGACGACCGCCGACTGCAGCCGTTTAGTGAAAAGCCAAAGTGGCGAACCACAATATATAATATATATGCTGCTAATATCGTTTGTTATTAATTATCGATTTGTGTCGTCGTATTATAATAATTATTCGCTCGTTTTACGGTTTCAAAAGACTCTCTTCGTTCGCGAATGAGTATATAGATATTTTTAATTCAGATGAAATAATAACGAGTGTGCACTGCTATAATATTATTATAATTATGACACTCGAGTCTGCGTGTATGAATGTATATATGTTACCGATTTATTCGATTATGTTATATACAAATTTCACGAAATTTTCACGTGTTCGACAGCTGGCTATTTTTAAATTTCGATCGGTAAAGCTTTCAACGGCAGACGTTTTTTCGGTTCACGAGATTAACATAGTTCTATATAGGTACGACTGCAAGGAAAATTCTAATAAAAAAGTCGTTCGTTTTGATAAATATCATTATAATATACAAGGTGATTTTTTAAGCATGCTCACCCCATTTTTATGCTTAAATTATGCATATATTCAAATTCTGATTTTACATAGTTTAAAGTCATATAGAAAACAATATTTTTATTAAAAAATTATACTTTTAAACATTTTTTATCCTTATAATTTTTTAATTTTTTTAATTTTTTGAATGACAACATAGAGTTTTAATTTCATTTCATTCATTTTCCAAAATGGAATATTTTTCTAAGTATTTTGATACATAAAAATCGAATTTCGGACGAGTAGTTTATGAGTTATAACTTATAAGTATTTAAAGTTTAGACAAGCGGAATAGTGGACAAACATTTTGCGGGGTAACCCCGTACCACTCCACTCCGGTCATCCAAACTTTAAATTCTTATAACTCTTAAACTACTCGTCCGAAATTCGACTTTTATGTATCAAAATACTTAGAAAAATATTCCATTTTGGAATATGAAATTAAAACTCTATGTTGTCATTCAAAAAAGTAAAAAACTTAAAAAATTATAAGGATGAAAAATATTTAAAAAAATAATTTTTTAATAAAAATGTTGTTTTTTAAACAACTTTAAACTATGTAAAATCAGAAGTTGAATATATGCATAATTTAAGCATAAAAATGGGGTGAGCATGCTTAAGAAATCACCTTGTATAGTTTTGCTTAATTAATGCGTAACGCGCGGGTTCTACCCGGAGATTTGACCGTCCTAGAACGTTTTTTTTTTTCCCAAAAAACAATTCAACAATAATATTTGAATGTATATTTAGCGAGAACGTTTATGTGTCTTTAGTAGGTGAAACCGTTTTTCTGTACGGCGTTTAACCACTCCGATAATGTACTCACGTCTCATTTATACTGGTAGCGTATAATTAGGGCGTGTAGTTTATGCGATTTCCAGACAATATAATATTATTATGTCTACTCTGTATCACTTATATAATACATATATGTATATCTTTATATTATGTATTATTTTTGCAAAATAATATGTAGGTAAGATCATACATCACTCACATCAGTATCACGCAGACGTGATGCGCTTGTGCAGTGTTTGTGGGGCCGCAGTCGTAATTACTATAATGATTAATAACAATTATTAATATTTTTTTTATCGAGCGATTACGAATAAAATAAATGCTCTCTCAGACAGCTGTGGCGCCGAAGTGTAATT